TGTTTGGAAGACAGCGCAGCTACATACCAATGCTTATCAGTAAGCTATCAGTGCGTCATGAGCAGCTGCTCAGTAAAATGTAAGGCGCACGGGACGGTTTTCTGCTCTCCCATAGTAGAGTACATCGTACTCTAAATCGTTAACTTTTTCTACATGCACTACTGACGGCATGCCTCTTTAGACGAGTCTTAGCACCCGCAATCAAAAGCATCATAAGGTTTTCCCCTGGATGATTGTCTAAGAGCCGATGCATGTAAGGAGCACGGTCAATTGGCAAACGAAGTACATTGAGCACATTGTAGTTTACGCGAAAGCGATAGGACTGTAGTGAATAGTGAGACATCTCAAAAGCAGTGACTGTGGGGGCAAAAATATGTTCGAGGATAGTATGAGAGTTCCGTGTTATTTTAAGTGGTTATGGCGATGTAGGTGTTTATATATAGCGCACCTCGGCTACTAAATTTCCGTAAGTCTGCAGAGACAGATAAAAAAAAAACGGTCACTTTCAACAAAATTGAGCAAGTAAACAAAAATATATTGCCAGCTGAAACAAACAATGAAAACGAGATAACAAGTGTGCTGCGATCATCTGGTAAACAAACAAACAATCAATCAAAGAAACGATGGAAACGAACAACGAAGCGCAACGATCCTCCTCATCGCCCAAAAGGTGCGAGTCTTCTTTGCATTCGTAATAAACATCTCAATGTGTACTGCTTATCAAAATAGTGTTAATGTTGCTCAGCGCTTAATTATACGCAACAGTCATCAGAAAGAGGTCTGACTGCTCCTTCACCAATGGCCACCTCAGAGGAGTTAGTTCGGGACACTCGACCTGCCATCAGATCACAGGGCCCTGTTGTTACGAATCCAATACATGTGCAAGTGGTAAACACACGAAAGGTAAGCACAATATAGCTACTGCACGAAACAAAACAACACGAGACAAGCGAAGAGACACATCTGTTACCCTTCTTTTGTTTTTGTTTTTTCTTTTTAAAGCGACAACCTAGACACCTCAACAAACGTGAAAATCTCCCTTCGCCATCGTCAACGCTGGTGACGCGAGAGGCTATTATAACGTGATGACGTCACCGTATGGCGGTGCACAGATCGCCAGTTTGTGACGTCAGGTGGGCCGTCATCACATCACATTGTCGCTTGGTCATGGGTCGGCCGACTCCATATGCAGTGCAATAGCAAAACCGAGTGCAGAAAACCTGGAAGGTCTGTGATCCACGAGGCAGTGCGAAACCGCACCATATATGGTACAGAAATGTTCCGGAGAGAAGGAGAGGAGGCGTATTAGTACATTATACGAGACAAAAAGTAAAATATAACGCGGTTTACGCCTTCAAGTAATCTTAGGCGAATGCACAAGGCACCCTGAGTGTGTTTTTCTTACTTTATTTCATTCATTCATTCAGGTTATAGGAGAAAAGTGACGCGGTAGCGCCCACGTTTACCGTTGTTCGAATGCCAACCTGTGACTCTCCGAAGGAAGCCGAGCCACATAGCATAGGCGCGGCCGCGTTCATGGCTCTCAGCGTGCAGGTTTCGGTTCGTACGTGGATACGACGGGGCCCATAACTCTTCTACCTTGCGCAAATTGAACTTCGCAGCCGCTAGCGGCGGGCAAGAGACCTTTCAGTTGACAGCGCGCACGATCAATACGCGCAGCCTTTAAATAAATATTAACACACCGCCGCTGTGAACGGAGACTAATGCTCCACGCCAGCACGGCTTGTGTGCGAGCAGCCACTCCACCCCCTTCCTTAACGCTGTGGCATACACAGGATTCTATGGCGACTGCCTTGCATAGCAACCTCGGTTTCCCCTTTGCGTTATCCATTATCTCTCTACCTTTTTTTTCACGTGATTCTGTTTTTTGTCTCCTGAGAGGTGGTGACGCCACACGTGTTGCTGTTAAGTCGGCGTGCCGTTCTGCGCTGTATATATAAACCTTTAGGCAAGAGTTACTTTCAGGCTAATTTGACTTCGCCGCCGAACATTAAGATAAACAGCATACGCTTCGAGAAAGGACGCCGACCACTTTGACTTTCGAAAATAAAAGCTTACACATGAAGCGCATGTAAGTTGCGTCGCAACATCCGCTTTCGATAGCACGCTCATGTTAAGTAACTCAGGACTCATGGGAAGCGAATGAACATTGATCAACCGAAGCTATACGTTACACAATGTTCGTTTGAATTTCTCAACACTTATATCAGCCTTTGATTTAATATATTTATTTATTGGTACCTGAAGGGTCCCGAGGGACATTACATGAGGGGTGGGTATCATACGTAAAGAGAAAACGATAAACAAATAGTCTAGCATTATAGTGTTTCAGATATTAGCAATGGCTGTAATCGCCTGAAGACAGATAAGTGCAAAAAACTTGCGCATTATATTACAGACAACGTTGAAGATTGTACTCATCATCATAATCATCATCGTCATCATCAGCCTGACTATGCCCATTGCAGGATAAAGGCCTCTCCCGTGTGCCGCCAGTCTACTCGGTGCTGTGTTTACCGCTGCCACTTTATACCCTCAAACTTCGTTATCTCATCGCCCCACCTCACTTTTTGTCTCCCCTTCACCCGCTTGCCTTCTCCGGGAATCCCGTCAGTTACGGTTAAGGACCAGCGGTTGTCCTGCCTATAGCGCGTTACGCGCTACGTGCCTGGCCCATGTACATTTCTTCTTGATTTCAACTATATATAATATCGTTAACCCAATTTGTTCCCTGACCCATTCTGCATTTTCTTTGTCCTTAAGGCTCTACCTATCATTATTTACCTTTCCATCGCTCACTGCGTCGTCCTCAATTTCAGCTGCACCTCTTTGTAAACCTCCAGGTTTCTGCTGCGTATACGTAAGTACCGGCGAGATGCAGCTGTTATATACCTTCCTCTAAAGGATCAGCTTGCTCTCCGTTGTATGCATGCTATTTAAAAAGTAATTGCTAACAGAATTAAGGACAACATAAGAATTCATTCAACCAAAGGAAGAAGCAGAATTTTGAGCAGGCTACTCAACAATCGATCACATTCATACTCATGTGATAGAGAAATGCTCAACATACACCCAACCACTGTTACATAGTCTTGATAGATTACGAGATGCACTTGATTCAGTAGAGATATCAGTAGTCACTCAGACAATGCGGAATCAGGGCGTCGACGAAACATATATAAACATCCTGGAAGAAATACAGAGGACCAACTGCCGTGCACCACATATATAGTGCTCCATAAAGAAAGCGACAGAATACCAATAAAGAGGGGTGTAAGACAAGGGGATACGATCTCCCCGATGCTATTTACCACGTACTTACAAGAGGTTTTCACAGGCCTACAATGGCAAGAGCTAGAGATAAAATTTGATGAACATTGTACTCATAAGCATCTTATTGCTCTAAACCTACGAACCAGTAAAAAAGTAGAATGGTCCTTCGTGCATTGCAGACGAGATGAAGTGGTAAAAGGAGAGGCTTTGAATGCCGGCATGTGTACGAAAACACCACCCCCAATTTCTCATTAAGGAGCCAGACCGAATATTGAAATGTCCAACAAGCATGTTCCGGTAAGACGCTCCATGGTATGTTTGCACGTCTATAGAGTGCTAGCCCACTATTTTTTATTAGAATTATCAATAGGATAGGTAAACGATGAAGTCAACAAAACGAAAATTGCTGAAGGATTACTATATACCATGACAGTTTTAGGAGCACAAAACAATGCTTTTGACACGCTTATTGAAAACAGGGCACTGCCACTGACAGACTGATACTTTTTGAACGGTGTCTAAAAAATTGACATTGCTCACCTGAAGTAGTAAGCGCACGTGTTGAATTGAAGAGGTTGGTCAGTATGTCGGCATGTGCAAGAATGTGAATGGAGTTTGCAATTCCTCGTGTTCAAATATTTGTGGATGGAAAGAAACGAGGCTGTTTCAGGACAGCTTGGAGGCACGAAAGCCCCGCAGCGACGACAGGCACGTGGGGATGCACACACAATAAGCTGTATTAAAGACAAGCTCCGTGACACTTAAACTGCGTTGGACAAGTACAATGTCATCTTCACGCAACATATGTTCAGCAAAGGAGACATTCCATTTCACTTTCACACACACACACACACACACACACACACACACACACACACACACACACACACACACACACACACACACACACACACACACACACACACACACACACACACACACATCAATGAAATCATAAATAACAAATTACAAGGTATTGTAATGAATCTGAATAAAATATCCTCTATTTTAGTATATAAATCAGCACTCACTCGTCATTACGTGCAAAAATAGGCGACACATGCACACTAATTTATTATTATTATTATTATTATTATTATTATTATTATTATTATTATTATTATTATTATTATTATTATTATTATTATTATTATTACACTTACCCATCGTTTGCATGACTCAAACCATTAGTTTTCCCAGTTGCGCGTGATTTAAAAATGAGTCTTGATCCCTGCCGATACCTTTTTGTCGACCATGCCTTTCTTGTTCTTAGCTAGCGAACACCTCCTTCCCCCCCTCTCGCTTCCGAGGAATAAATATATCCAGGAAAACATCTGTGACTCAGATGAATTATAAGATTCAGCTACCTCAGTCTTCAAGTGCAATGACCCCAACAGCTGTCAAGGTTAATATCTCTCAGAAACCCGCAATAACTCACAGCAATAAGCAACGTTGCCCGCACTTCACACCAGTCGCCAGAACACAACTCGAAAAGCGCGCCCTCGCCGGCGCCGTACGTACAAAAACAAGATCGACACAGCGCGACGCCATCATTTCGTGCGAACCCGACCGACAAGCGAAGCGGCCGGCACGGGAACGTAGCCCCACGTGGAGGCGATCGAAGTCGGGGTCGTAACCAGTCGCTAAGGGTCTCAAGGATGCGTCGCTCAACTCGGGCAAATCAGCGAAAGGCATTCACTATTTACCTGAACTCTGGGCTCGGCCATCGCAAAGTGTATCAGCCTCAGGAAGAGCGGACGATTTCCAAGATGGCGGCGCATGGCGGCGGCGTGTGTCCCGGCGGAGGAGGCAGGCGGGAGAGGAGGAAAATGGCGCGCGCGTTGGCGCCCAGCCCGCTGCGGCAGCACCGGACGATGATGCGACGGCGGTGGGGTCTCGTATTTTTTTTCTCACGCGTCGCTCACGACGGGGAAATACACGGCGGGCTGAGGCGAAGCTGTCCGAAAGATGACGCGTCTGTCCAGAGCGCAGGTGCTTCCTGCGATGACTGAAACTTGAGCGGAATGGGGTCAGAGGCGGGCGGCGTGGCGTTCGGAAGGGAACGAAAACCGCCCCCCCCCCTTGCGCCACCAGGAATCGGGCGCTGAGAAGAAGCTCGGCCCGCGCCGCGGGGAGGGCACGGAGGAAGGGGAAGGGGGGTCGGGGTCTTGATAGTTTAGTTCTGTGAGCGTGCGTTTGTGCAAACTCCGGCCCTTTACCCACTCGAAGCGCGCGCTCTCGGCCTGAGGGGTGGTGCTCCGCTGCCGGGCGTTCGTAAGAAGAGCCTCGTTCGCCCGCCCTGTCGAAGAAACTGACATTCACCTTTTCCTCCACATTTTCAGTTCTCCTCAGTGCGTTCGAAAGAGGGGGCCGACGAAGTTGTATAGTAAAGCGGGGCAGAACACGGCACATGTTCCGTTGTTCCCGACTCCGGGACGGTTTTCCAACGTTGTCACAGAACGGCGAGTTTTTTTTTTTTATAGTTCCGAACACATCTGCCCGACTTCGGGCATTGCCTGCAGGCTTTCGCGTCAACTTCGAGACGACACTAACCCTACGAACATAAAATCGTAAAGTGTTCGTCTCGTGTGTGCACACTCTCTGCTGCTTTCACGCGATGATATACGAGCCCCCTGGTTTCCTGCGGTCGCATAAATCATGTAGGTTGACAGCGATGCCCGAAAACTATATAGCGACCAAGATATACGACACCACGCGCCTGCCACGGAGAAACGGATGCTGTATTGTATAACTCGTTCCGCCTGAAATCTCGTCCTCGACGCAAGGGCGCTCTCCGAACGCTTGTTATGTGGAGGGAATGTGAAGCACACGCCCTCGGAATGATATCGGCTCGGTACATCCGATTCGCGAAAAGGGGGTAGGGCGTATACAGCTGCAAAACTGGATGCGACTCGGATTTGATAAAATGTAAACGCATTGCTCACTCTGCCATCTCGCGGTCTGTTGACAGAGTAATCACTTCATGCCTTGTGCAGAAGGCTGCTCACGTACAAGCCAGTTCCAGCCCGAGACAGACGCCGTCACCCGTTGACAAAAATAGACCCGGTGATAGAAACACAGTAAACAAGAGATACCACAGAATTTATTGCCACTCTTTATTCTTACGTATACGGACCAAAGACGTGGGGATCACTGAATGGTACTTGGCAGGCTTGAATAATAAAGACATAATCCAAAAGTTTTGAATGTCCAGGCCGCGCACACAGAAGCCAAGCAGAGGGGATCCTCCACGACGCGTTCGCAAGCGTGGAGAGAGCTTGCACTTCATTAGATCGCGGATGCTTCCGGTTTAATAGAAGGCAGACTCCCAATTTATCGACCGAAACACGCTTGTAACCATCCCTAACACGACTGGTTATACCGAGTTAGGGGAAGGAGGAGGGGGGTGAGACAGAGAAGAAAGAAGGGCATTGACGTCCCCGCAGCCGTGTCCGATTTGGAGATCCTCCCTCCCCTTCGCACACCACGCAAAGTAGAACGGGCGAGAAGGCGGTGCGTCGACCCTGAAGCTGAAACAACGCGGCGCCCCCTTTCGGTCTCGCTCCATGGCTTCGGGTTACCTGTCCACTCCGGATGATCTCGCGTTGCACCATTCGTCTTCGCCGAGGAGGCATGCCATCGTGGCCCCCGCGCTCAAATTGCGCGCTCAGACGTAATCACGCCGACGACACCCTCCCCTACGACGGCGCCTGCTCAAGACGATGCGTGTAATGGAGTGGCTCTCTCTTTCGAGATGTGCCTTTTTTCTCGCTTGAAGCGAGGTATCATCCTCCAGCCTGACCGCTTGATATCGTAAACCAACGTGGGACGACAGTCTTCGGGAGAAAATGAATCTGCGTCTGGCGACCGTCGCGCCTCTGGTGGTTTGCGCATGCGTTTCGGGCCTGCCGAGAGGCGTGTAACGACAGACAAAAACAAAAACGCGGAAGGCTTGCGTGCCTACTAATGAAGCGAGGGCGCTGTATTCATTAAGAGCTGCCCGGAGGCCACGTTTCAGCGCCGAACAAAATATGGCCAAAAATTGTGTGAACGAAGTGGAAACCTTTCCTAGATGAGACTGTCATTTCCATGAAGCGTTTTGACCTTCACTCAATGGCACAATCATGGTGGAAGTCAGACACATGTGTAGGAAACAAGCTTATTTTCCTTGCACCATACCATCCACGATAATGTCAATAATCGGGCGCAAATATAATCTATATACTCGGGGACGTCTTTCTGTACCAATGTATTCTAGGCTACTGACAGCCGAACCACGCCGTTTCATCAGGGCCGCTGCACAGGTGGAAGTAGTTTCGCAAAAGAAGAACAAAAAATATGCCCAACGTAATCATGCAGAGATAATGTTTAACTGGCAATTGATTATGCCAAAAGATTATCAGAGATATCAAGTAAATGGCGTTATATTCCAGATTTTTCGGTTCTTATCTTTTTTTTTTTTAAGTTGCCACGTTCCCCACTGCCGTCGCAATGGCTCTTTCTTCATCTCCCTTCAGACAAAAAAAAAAAAAAAAAAAGGCCTCCAAGACGGACCGTCTCATTCCTCCGGTTGGCTCGCTCATTAACTCGGCGAACAGGATATTTAAGAAGCTCGAGTACCAAAAGCAGTCGCAACAAACCAAGCAATTGGTTGGCAACGAGTACGCCCAAGTGCGACTGACGCAACCGAGACTCTCAGTCACTTCCGTGTTTCGTTCGCTTAGCCAGCTTAGGCGGAAGTGAACGTACAGTCACGCGTAAAATGCCGCATGCCCGTCCGGTTTTAATGAAGGGGACGGAAACGGGCAGCGGTTAGGATTTGCGCACAGGATTCGCGGCGATAGTTATAGCGCGAGAACAGAACGACGACACAGAGACAAGAAGGACACGAAGGTCTCTGTGTTGTCGTTCTGTTCTCGCGCTATAACTATCATGTCATACCAACTATATCCCAAGCTGCCACACTTCTAAGGATTCGCGGGTTCTGAAGCGACGCGAAGTGGCCTCTAAACGTTTTATGAGGCGTGAGCGCGCGGGCGGTAGACCACCAATGCCTTTCGATGCAGGCGTAACTCAACGCGATCCAAACTGAACTTCACGCCGCAAGGATGTGCGAGCGGCTCTTCGGTATACCGCGCCCGCACTATATGCAAGATCGCTACACGCGCCAGTTTTCATCTCTTGATGAGTTTACGTATCAGTGCATGCCCTAAAATACTGCAGCGCTGAAAATATTAACGTCATTTCTGGAGGACACGGAATAAAGGGACAAATTAAGCAAGGAACGAAATGCCAATATGCCTACGCTCGATAATCGTGGTTGAATGCAACCAACCAAGTAGCACATGCGAAGAAATGAACTGCAGGAAATAGGTATCTGTCACGCCGAAACTGAAACCGAAACAAGCTTATCGGGGACTACTTTAGCGCAGTAGCACAGAGCAGTATCCCCCTCTCCTGAATGAAGGGTATTAACATACATTCCAGGAAACAGGGGAGGGGAATACGCACGCTCACCCTCCAGCGCTCCACACACACACACACACACACACACACACACACACACACACACACACACACATATATATATATATATATATATATATATATATATATATATATATATATTCCAAAAACAATTCGTCAGTGGAATGTTTTGTCATTACCACTGGTTCATTGTGATTCACTGGAAAAATTTGAGGAAGGGCTCAAAGATATTTTTCTGTAAGCATGGTCTACTATGTTAATTTATTGCAATTTATTTGTATGCTTACTACGACTGCACTGTTTTTCCTTCAGCCTCAATGCCGGTGTTTCCAATGTATGTCATGTAACATTTCCAAGTTCAAGTGTTGCTGTTTGAATTGCTGTATGATTTGAATGTCTTGATGTTTGTCATTCTTAGTATGTCCCACCCCTGTAACAGCCGAAAGGCTACCAGTATTTGGAAAATAAAAAGAAATATATATAGTCGACTGGAAGCTATGTTGCGTTATGTTCAGCGCAAGTGTGACAGAGTTGCTTATTGCTTACAACCATTCTGCTTTTTTACGAGTATATAGGCAAACAAAACAAAGACACTAAACTGGTTTTAAAATAAATGAACAGATTTTACACCTAAGGGCATCTCAGCTTCATGAAGGCAGAGTTCTTTAGTAGCCTTCAACGTTTTTGGGCAGCCTTGAACTTCACACGCTCCATCGCGTGCGTGCAAGGAGCAGCGTTTAGCGCCGAGGATAACGACCTGCGCTGGCACGCGTGGCTTCTCGCGTTTGCCACCGCTTATAGGGAAGTATGCGGAGCGTACTATACGCTCGTGCACCACGGCGGGTATAAGCAGCCAAAGAACGCGCCAGAAATCGGCGCGTCCGCCGTCAAAGATGTGCAGCGAATACATCCCAAGATGGAAGCCGCGGCACACCGGGGGGGATGAGGCCGCCACCCTCCGTCTCAACCCGAAACAAGGTGAGAAGGAGGGGATCGCGGCGCCGCTGGCCCTTTCCGCATTTGATGCATGGGGCAACGGCGGGCGCCATTCGTCATCGGCCGCGCGTTCGTCGGCGCTTGATAATCTTGAACGTGAAGATTTTGACTCCCTCTCTCTCCGCCACTTTCTGCCGTTTTCTATTTCCCCCTTCTCTCTCTTTATTCAGATTCCTCTCCCTCAGGCTCCCTTCTCTGTTTGAAGGCCGAGGGTGGGCGGCAGCCTGAGAAGGCCTGGCGGCCGGAATTCTTGACAGAGATGAACGACTTCCCTCACCCTTCGCATTTCCCCTTCTTTCCTTCGCTGTGATCACGCTGAGGTAAGACTTACTCTTCCTATTTTTCTCTTTTGCACGACAGAAAAAGAGCTCGTCCGCTCCCCTTCTCGCAGGGGCTCTCCCTTTCCTCTTCGCAATGCTGTTCTTCTTCGTCGGTTTGCGATGGATGCTACCGAGTAAGGAGCCTCCTTTCTCTCAGGCCCCCGGGATTATAATTCGGCGCAAGGGAAATTACCGACGCTGCTGCTGCTGCGGCAGCGAAA